TTATTGAATTTCGTCACTTACAGTGATATGGAGTAAATAATTTCCGTAATCATATTACACGTATCGTCTTTTTTGCATAGGAACTATCGACCAAGGACATTGTTGTACTTATTGTAGAGGCCCCATTCGCTTCCGAAAAGGCCAGGTTGTTGTTGTTGGTTGAAGTTGTTGTTGTAGTTGTAAGGATTGTACGTTTGTCGTTTAGCTCGGAGAGGGAGAGCCCTGCAATTTTCAACGTTTTTATTGAACTCGTTCATCAAATAGATAATACTCTAGGAAGTTTATGGAACAGCGTTCTGACGCTGATAATCTCCTGAGGTGAGTGGGGGTGTGACGGGTGTCCAAAATTTTCTTTGAACAGAACTAGGGTTAAAGGCATCTGAAGCGTTACCGTACTCAAAGTTGGTTGATCGATCCCGGAGCTCCTTTTCCCTTTGCACCTAGGCAAAAGTACCCATCCCATCACGATAAACCTGGTGTTGCATGAAGAGCCCTTTGAGTACCCCTGTATCCCAAGACTAACAGCGTCAGTAGTTCTACCGAGCCAAGCTGCAGCACCTCCACACCACATCTACGGACAAAGGAGTACTGTACCTAAGGAAGAGCGTCAAAAGGAAAGTTCCACTCACCCGCTAGCTAAGGCGACGATGGCAGCAAGTAGTAGAACAAGAAGGTAGCAGCGCATGTTTAACTGACCACCTCCTTCTATCGAGGCTTTATATAGGGGAAGGTGCAAGGATTATGGTAGTCATGTGACGCTCGACCGTACTCACCGCCATTCTGGGTGGAGTCGCATTCAGTCAAAGATCAGCGCTGAGTTACCTATCTATTAATCACACCGCCGTTCAAAAATCAGCAGAAGTCGCGCGAGAAGAGATCTCTGAATAAGCTCTCGGAAGCGTGAGCGCTGAATTGGTGAAAAGTATTTCATCACAGATATTACAATAGCTCTGATCGCCTTTATTTGATCCTTGGCACCTGATTTCGGCGCGTGAAACTTTGCAGGCAAACTGGATTTCTGCTAGCTATCCTGGGAAAAGCGTGTGGCTGGAACCCGTTGTCTCATCCCCTTCTTCTCCATAAATTTTGATAACCTTATCCGCGTGGCCGATTTCCTGCTGCAGCGGCAGAGATCAAGGTTGGCCAAGGAGCAGTAGGGGAAAGCAAAAATACTTTAACAGTAAAATTGACGTCAAGACCAGTTGAGGAATCCTCAGTGAGGACACCATTACAGCGAATTCCTCATTTTCCGGACCCTGGTATAGGCGAACTAGCTTGAATGCATGCCAAATTATGCACTATCATGGTGCACTACCACAACAACCTAGGGCCTGATTGCAGTGAAGTCATAGCTCCGGAAACTCACGCGCTCAGAACCTTTTCTATCGTTTGTTTGGAGAAAACCCTCCAATTTTTAGATTACTTAGAGAATTGAGTATTCTTTATAGGTTCTCTGGTATATGAAGAGGGAATCTTCTGCTTCCCCAGCGCCGCTTCCTATTTTACCCTGGTTGACACAGAAGTCGTGAGCTTCGTGATGAATTCAGGACCCCTTGGGTGGATAACCCCTCAGTGAGTTTGTATGGGCTCTGTGTAGGGTAGCAATCGTCACATTAAGTATGCAGGATCGTATATACACCCCATGCAGCGGGAAGGACCCTAAAGGTCCACCGTTGTCAACCGGTGCTCGAGCTAGATTATGCCTTTTTTATTTGTGGATACACTGCATATTCCATCGATGGAGTGGGCGTGGCTGTCCACCTTCCTTGACTATGGCGTCACACTGTTTTTTTCCAGACAAAGCAATTTCATACAAGCGTCATCCTGTCCTGTACAATCAAGGGGAGAATCAGGGATGCTCTGTTCTGAAAGTGCAATATGCCTCCAGGCGCAGCTGCCGTCAGCCACATTCTAATGAAGTACCCAACTACGGAACCCCCATATCTGATATATGGTGGTGTATGTATTTGCCTCCACACACTACGCCACTACTTACGTCAAAGAACGCAAACACCCATGAAGATCACGATCGAATGCCTATTTGCTAGTCCCTGCGCGATCTCTACCAAAACCGAGCCCAGTTTGCGCGTTGCAGCTGAGCGAATAGGGCTCAACTTGCTAATTTTCAGATGCCGCTCAAAACCTGCAACACCGACTAGGGTAGGGTGTCACTACAGTTGCTCTAGAATCAGAACTTTCATATAGAACAAATATATATTTACAAAGTAAAATTATTTCTTCTTAGGAGCTGGCATGATTGGGATGACCCTCTTGTTGGTGTGTTGGCCAGTCTTCGGAGCTTCCACGGAGAGTTGTCCGTTGTTGTCGATCTGTGTGTGTACGGCATCCAGGTCGCAATCTTCAGGAAGAGCCCATCTGTGGACGAAGTTCCTGAACAGTAAATGGTGAAGCTATGGTTGAGAATGAGCACACAGCATATTAACAGTTGTTACTTCTTGATGTAGCCATGTTCGGTCTTCACTTCTTGGTGGCCTTCGATGGTGAGATCACGTCCTTCCAATTGCACCTTCAGCTCCTCTGGTCTAAAGTGTGACACATCCAATGCGACAGCGAATTTCTTGTCATCATTGATGAGCTGAAAGAGAGAGATGTCTGATCGGAAGCTACGGATCAGTTCTGTGGTTAAGTCTCACCTCTTTGGTTTGATTTCCCACATGAAGCATGGAGTGATCGGCATCTCTCCAGTATGGCATGATCTGACGGCTCATCCAATCCATATCACGCATTGGACAGAAACGATCCAGACGCCTGAACGGCTCTTCCACCATGCGCTCGAAACGGTCCACGGGCCAGAGAGCCATGATGCTGATCACCTACACTGAAAAATGTGATTACAGTAATGAAATACGCGACCTATAAGAGTAAGCCGTTACCGACCAGAACACAATGGGGCACAGCACAGGAAAAAACAACACTAAATATAACTCCTTGCACGAAATGGCTCCTATTTATTGGCCTGGGGAGGGGTTCTGGAAGGAAAGTTGGCGGGAAATCGTGATGATCTCCAATTCCTAACTTCTCCACCAGAAAATACCTGTCGTGATGTACAATATTCCTCTTGAATAACCTTAGTGAACAGCTGCGCAAAACACGATTATATTACATATGTAAAGTTTTCAGCCTTACATCCTTGTCACATTTGTGTGTGACAAACAGTATTTACGTCTAGTACGGGGTCAAAGATTGTAATCCAATTGGGGAACGCAACCTTATATCAACTTCTTAGATCACAACTTTCTTGAGATGGCTTGTTAATCCAAAGTTAATTTCGTTGATAAACATTATGCTAGTTGGTGCCGCTTGCATGTTTTTCTTAAATTGATTCGACAGAACCCTTTAAAGACTAGGTTTTATGGAGAGATCTTCACTGGCTACCGACCGGTGTTCGTCCTCACTACTTTCATTCATCATACGCATTGACTAGAAAAGTGTTATGAATCTGACTGTTCTATGAAATGAATAATACGTATTACAGTGATTTGAACAATGTACAGTGCTCTCCCCAAAAAACTCTCACTATAGATCCAGTGAAATTCAAAAAATTTCAGGCATATTCTCCTTAGAATATGCTAACTAGGAAGGACGTTACGATTATTGACAACACATTCCGCTCTGATCGTGTAGGCTGAATCAATCTAACCATTACATTTGTAACATTGATGAGATCCCTCTATTGTGTTTCGAAGGAGCAGCTCATTGAGAAGGGGGCACTTGTCCAAATGGCTCCGCCCATGTGATCAGCGAATACTATGCTGTGCCTGTTAACCGTCCGTAATGAACTCCGCCGCCACAAAATATTTTCCGCACTAGTCCCAAGTTGATCAGTCTCTTTAAACAACTACTGGAGACTCCTACATTATCTGATGGACAAAAGTCCCTTCCTCCCCACTCCTCTCATCCCTCACCAGGGTCAAGGATACGTCGCGGAATCGACCGTGGGTCATATTTGCAGGGATCAGTACTGAGCAAAGTAGCGAAGAAAGTTGCAGGTTGGGTGATGCTTTCGGAAAGAAAGTCGAATTCATGGGAGTGTTGATCAGCGCCTCTGTGCTGCAGTTCCTATTCACCACATGAGGAGGATGTGTACGGAAAGCTTACCGAGCTTTCTAGATGGAAATGTGGGCTCTATAGGGAAGGAGTGGGGGAGGGAACCTCATACTGCAGCTGAGGTTGACTATCACATCTAAACCCGCGACGGACGAATTTCAGCTGTATTCAAGCTATAGCAAGGATGCTGTTCTCTTAAAGACAGCTCCCGCGATAAAAGTGTCATGGATAGTTGCTTTTCAATTATGAAACAGTAGCTGATAAGTAATCTCCCAAAGAAGAAAACAAGCAGAAGCGTCCTCCAGAACAACATAAACAAAATCGCTCCCTCATAGTCACACCTCCCTGCGGTCTCTGTGCAACCCCTAGCTCACAAATCTCTCTATCACATCTCGCAAAAGTTGATATCATCCAGTGCAAAAAAAGAATACAAAAAACAACAAAAACGCAGAGGAAAACTCTTGGAAGGAAAAAGAAATTTTAAAAACTCGGTGTCCGAATTTTGGGTTACGGTAGCGCACATCTTACTAGGGAGGTCGTTCAGGACGTGGAGCGCTTTTTGAAAACGGTTTTTTGCATGATGTGGGGTCACGTGCATGGAGTACCAAACTGGTGTTCATTTTTCCTGAACGCCTCTGGGAATGCCAAAAATGGAGTGAAAAAGAAGTCCATGGAAACCGACTGTTTTTGAGCCTGAATGGGCTCTAAATCACTCGCAACTTCGGCCAGTTGCTGCCTATAGGGTCCTTATAAAGGTTGTACTGGTATCGATGAGAAAAGTAGTCGCCAATGGGGTCTTACTTGTGGCACGTAGTTAAGAGTCGACGGCTAGTTGGAATGGGCTCTTAAGCAATCGAAGTGATAGCTGCGCCAACGATCGGATGGCCTAGTGGATAGCGTGGAGGATTCTCAAGCAGACGGTGGGGATGGGGATGATGGTTCGACTCCCCTCGGCTTGCACGTTTTTGCATTTTTTATTTTCCGTTGTTGTCGCTTCCATATACGTCTGTTAATGAATTTTACTCGGATATCTGCCATTTATAGGCACATCCTAAATAGTTATACCCCGTAGTCGTTGCTGTCCAGCAATTTCGATTTCACATAACATTAAGCAAGAACTTGTCTGAAAGTTGAACTTTATATGTTATTCGGTGCCCTGATCACGACTATGGCATTTACTTTCAGCTCCAGTGCCATTTATCTCCTTTGGAGCCACGTCTTTCTCCCACTGGAGTCGCTATGTACATTCGTTTGAGGGACTTGCAGGGCCATTCTGACGCCAGATTGGGTTGACGTCAAGAATAAGTGTCAGAATCGTGATCAGGACCATCGATTACCCCTATAGGCAAACTTTCAGCCAAAAATTTTTTTGACTTTTTTGAGTCTGTGCATTTTATGTTATGGGTTATGCTCAAGAGTCACTTTGTTGACACGGCTCGTACTTTTGCTGGTTATCGAAACCCTCATTCAGTGGTACGGAGACAAAAACTAGCAACAACCATAAACGCCATCAAAAAAAAGAACAAACATAGTCAGTGAAGAAATCGGATGAGTCTCTCCTCTTGGTAGGGGAGGACGACATCTTCGTTGAGCGAGCCGTCGCGGGGGTCGACATGTCCAGGATGGTTTTTCACTTGTTCTGCGGCCACCCATGCCCATGCCAAGTATGAATGGACCTTATGAGCACCAAATCCGCGATACGGCTGCCCGGCGGCCCACCACGTCATCGCTACGTCATCGCAGCTCCAAAGTTGTGGGTCTCCGGTCATCACTGTCGACCAAATGGTCGGTCTATCACAACTCAAAAAAGTCAAAAAATTTTTTTGGCCGAAAGTTTGCCTATAGGGGTAATCGATGGTCCTGATCACGATTCTGACACTTATTCTTGACGTCAACCCAATCTGGCGTCAGAATGGCCCTGCAAGTCCCTCAAACGAATGTACATAGCGACTCCAGTGGGAGAAAGACGTGGCTCCAAATTGGAGCCACGTCTTTCTTCGTCTTTCGCGAAAATGGCACAGGAGCTGAAAGTAAATGCCATAGTCGTGATCAGGGCACCGAATAACATATAAAGTTCAACTTCAAGTTCTTGCTTAATGGTATGTGAAATCGAAATTGCTGAATAGCACCGACTACGGGGTATAACTAACGTCGAGTTCTCTTCGGACGGTGGGGCGGTCCTTCGTCCACGTTGGCAAGCGGTCCGACGCCGCCGCGATCGATAATGGCTGATACGCCAATTAACCTGATTGCTACCGTTTTCAGCTTCGAAAAGCTAAAATTATTCTTCGTTCAGCTTCAATAAGCAAGGGTGAGTATGTTTCGAGGAAGCTAGATTTCATTTTGCATGAATTTAGTAAGTAGCATCGAAGTTAAACGAAGACATTCACGAAAAGTAAAAAAAATTGCGAAAAGAAAGAAGAAACAAGTTCTTTAAGAGAGTTTCATGCTGAATTCATACAGAATGTAATCTTATTCCAGTAAACATACTCACCTCTAAAATTGAAACCGAAACTAGAACAATTTCAGCTTTTACAAGCTGAATATTGCAGAAAAACAACAAAAATTATGGCAGAAATCAGCTGATTGGTAGCGTCAGCAACCATCGATCGGCGGGAGTTCAGATGGAAGAGAGAAGAGGGCGCGGCGGGGTGTGTTAGAGCGCAGAGTCAGTGTCAGAGACGCAGGGGCAATGATGATGATTTCCTGGAATTTCTCGGCTTTCCATCGTCACGCAATCAGCGGGACGCTCGCCGGCGTGGTCGTAGGGAACGCCCCACCGTCCGGTGAGCGCTCCACACTATTTAGGATGTGCCTATAAATGGCAGATATCCGAGTAAAATTCATTAACAGACGTATATGGAAGCGACAACAACGGAAAATAAAAAATGCAAAAACGTGCAAGCCGAGGGGAGTCGAACCATCATCCCCCTCCACCGTCTGCTTGAGAATCCTCCACGCTATCCACTAGGCCATCCGATCGTTGGCGCAGCTATCACTTCGATTGCTTTCGATTGCTTAAGAGCCCATTCCAACTAGCCGTCGACTCTTAACTACGTGCCACAAGTAAGACCCCATTGGCGACTACTTTTCTCATCGATACCAGTACAACCTTTATAAGGACCCTATAGGCAGCAACTGGCCGAAGTTGCGAGTGATTTAGAGCCCATTCAGGCTCAAAAACAGTCGGTTTCCATGGACTTCTTTTTCACTCCATTTTTGGCATTCCCAGAGGCGTTCAGGAAAAATGAACACCAGTTTGGTACTCCATGCACGTGACCCCACATCATGCAAAAAACCGTTTTCAAAAAGCGCTCCACGTCCTGAACGACCTCCCTAGTTAGTGCACTGAAGTGCGTCGAGCTTTTGCACCACGAAAATTGCGTCACTCGTGATTTTTACGCGTTTCACCTCGCGAAATGGGTTGAGTTGAATGTATATGCCCCCACTGAGTAAACTGTAATAAAGGAGAGCAGAATTATCCATGGGCACGAGTGCAGCAAAAAGGAGATGCAATTCCGATTAATGCCCGCCGCCCCAACTAAGAACAACTGAGTGGCCTCGTCGGAGGGCATCTAGCAAGTAAGGCGGTCCAACCAGGCGTTAGAACTAGAACTTTGAGCGGCTGTAGCTCGCTCCCCGCTCACTGTGGAGTCGAATAGAGTGGGACAGTCTCTAGCTTGGGGGCTGTACTACTTGCACAAGGAAGGACGACCATGTACTACTCGAGCGCGGGGGCTGTCTTTGACAAGGA